GAATCACAGCAGACTTCTCAACACAAACCCTTAAAGCAAGGAGAGCTTGGAGTGAAGTATCTCAAGTCCTGAAAGAAAACTTGCAACCAGAATGTAGTAACTTGCAAAAATATCTTTCAGAATTAATGAAGAAATATAATACTTCTACGACAAAGAACAACTGGAGAAATTCATGACCACCAAACCAGCTCTACAAAGTGTTCTGAATGATATTCTAGAAAAAGGTAATTAAAACCACAATTCCAAGAATGTCAACAGAAAGAAGCCACCAGACATGGCATGCAAGTAAACAGTGGGAAAGACAGTGAATCAACAGCAGGAAAATAATACAAAAAGGATAAGCCAAGGCATATCATTTATACCCATCAATATAAATATTCTCAACTCACCAATCAAAAGAAACCAACTAGCAGAATGGGTCAAGAAACAAAATCCAACATTATGCTGCATACAAAACACACTTATCTCAAAAGGAAATTCATAGGCTGAAAGTCAAAAGGTGAAAACAATGCTGTATGAAACAGGACCCCATAAAAAAGCAAGGGTATCTATTTTATTTGCAATGTGAACTTCAAGCCAAGACTGATCAAAAGAGATAAAGAAAGTCACTATATACTTGTCAAGGGAAAACTCCAAGAAGAGATAATAATTGTAATATATATGCCACAAATACAAAAATTTGCACAATTGCACAAAACAAATATTAATAGACATAAAAATCAAACAAGCCCTAACACAGTTGTAATATCCCACTGTCACAAATAGATTAACTAGACAAAAAAAAGAAATACTAGAATTGAATCAAATCTGTGAACAAATGCACTTAGTACTTATCTACAGTGTGATCCACTCCACAGCATGAGAACACACATTCTTCACAACTGCACATAGGATGTTCTCCAAACTAGACAGTGTTCCAGCTCATAGAAAAGGCATAAGTAAATGAAAACGAATTGAAATTATCCCATCTACATTATCAGACCACAGAGCAATGAAATTAGAAATCAATGATAAAAGAAACTATAAAAAATATATAAACATATGCAAGTTAAAGAACACCCTCTGGAGCAACCAGTGGGCCCCAGCTGAAATTAAAGAGGGTATTAGCCAATTTCACCTGTTACATGATACAGCCAAAACAACATACCAGAATGTATGGGATGCGATGAAACCAATCCTAAGAGAGAAATTTAAAGCAGTGAATTCTCATATCAGGAAAAGAGAATGAGCCAAAATAAGCAAACAAATGCTGAGCCTCAAACTTATATAAAAAGAAAAACAAGTCAATCCCACACCCTGTAGCAGAAAAGAGAAAATTAAAAAGATCAGAACAGAAATTAATGCAATTGTGACTAAGAAATCAATACAAGAATCAATGACTCAAAGAGTTGGTTCTTTGAAAGATTAAATAAAAGTGAAAAAACATTTACCCAACCTTATAAAAAAGAAGAGAAGAATCAAATCCATGTATTTAGGAATGAAAATGTTGAAATCGAAACATACCCTCCAGAAATCCAGAAGATCATCAGTACCTACTTTGAGAACATGTACTCTACTAAGACAGAAAGCTCAGAAGAAATGGAAAGATTGCTAGATACATAAAAATTGACAAAACTGAATAAAGAAGAAAAAATTTCTAAATAGCCCAATATCAGTCAATGAATTTGAAAATATAATTTAAAACTTACCAGCAAAGAAAAGTCCAAGTTCTGATAGATTATTTGCTGAATTCCAAAATATTTAGAAAAGATCTAATGCCACTACTCCTCAGACTCTTTGATGAAATTGAAAGGGACACAATATTTCCAAAATCATTCCTGGAAGCAAGTATTGTACTGATACCAAAACTAGAAAAGGCCCCAGTGAATAAATAGACCAACAGGCCAATCTCCCTAATGAACTGTGGTGGTTTGACAACTTATAACACCCAGGTGAACTTAATAAGCATGGTG